TTATGTGGGGAAAACACTCTTCCTATAGGAGAAATGTTCCCATGGATTTCAGTATATCTCTGTATTTAAGTAAGTTACTTCTCCCTATATAAACAAGTGTTTTTCCAGCAAGTCCCTCTGCCTCTGCTGAAATAACAGGATTACTTTCAATTGCATTGACTGGGATCCAAGAATAATATGTTCTTGGGTTTTGTTCGTCAGATACGTGATGTATTGAGTCACAGAACTCTGCTTCGCAGAGATTGCCATGAATCTGATTCCTTTTAGGAAAGGCAATCTGAAAATCTTTGGGGGGTTTTGAGGTTGTCATTGAAAACGTGCCCCTTTTAAAAATGAGAACTTCTAAGGAATTCTCCGCAGAAGAGATCAGTTAATTTTATCATAGTAGATTTTCTGAAGGCACAGCAAAACTTCATTGCATTTCTAGATTTTTTTGGTGAAGTTTTTTTAGCATGGGGGTTCCTTTGCATTTGTTGGCAGCCACTGTGTGTGTTTGCAGTGTTTGAGCAGGCAGGTACAATGCAGTGGTGCATTTTGTGTTTGGAGATGTGTGATTTCGGGACTCCAGAGTTCTGCTTAGATACTGAAAATATTAAGCATCTAGTTATGCTTGCTGTAGGCAATTGTACTTCATTCATTGGTGTATAAATTTTAAGGACCAAATCAATAGGTCATGTTACAAAAAACAGAGCCCAGTAAAACAATAATTAAAATCTCACAGAGCCATGTAGTTACTGCTAAAGTTTAAAGGTTCAGAATTTCCATTCTTTCCAGTAAGTTCTTTTTAAGACTTCAAATAGTGTATTTTTTTACTGTACTTCAGATCGTTCTTTTGGCAGAAGCATAATATTAGTATTGCATTATTTGTTTTAAAATAAACATTTCAAAATTTGAACTCCAAAGTTGGAAGGCAGCAAAGGAGAGAGAGTTAATACCTTGTATACAGCCAGTTTATTGCTTTAAAATTATTGACTCAGCTGTTTTCATTTCTGAAGGATTTAGGAATTGTTGTAAGCCATGTAAATCAAACCCTTGGCTGATGATGAATGAATGGAGCTTGGTGTCCAAAGCACATTGTGTGCTTCAAATGGGGGTGGTGGTGGTGTTGTTTAGATGATTCTCCTCCATATGTAAATCAGCACAAAAGGATAGTAAGGAAAAGGGCTCAAGAACCTGGAAAGGATCCATCTTTCTTGTTTATCAAGGCTGCTTCAGACTTTCTTCCTCTGGTAGCTACTAAATCTTAATTGAATTTGTCTTTTGTAACACTTTGTCTCTCCTTTTAGCATCAGCCCTTTCATTCTCTCTTACTGTGTCAGACAGCTTTGAGATCATAAATGCAAATACATCACTTAAGTTCATTTGCATTGTTCTGGATTATTTACTGCATTTTCATTTCCAAGTCAGCAAGAAGAAAGTTTTCTATGGTTTTCCTATGTATAAGCAAGTACTTTTTGATTTTTATCTGTACTTTTTTCTTCTGTTTGTAAACAACTTTCTTGTTTTAATCATTGATTTGCAGCAGCATTCTTCTCCCTTCCTTCCCCTAATGAACTGTAACAAAGCCCTCAATTTTCCACTTAATGTAGTGTTGCTTTGTACACTGCATTTCATGTTTATGAAATGGATCTTTATTTAGAAACAAACTGCAGTTCAGTTGAGGTACAATTAACTGTCCAGAAATTGCTGAAGGAGGATATTAGTGCCTGTTGCAGCAACGTCTTTTGATTTTCAGCTGCACAATTGATTGTCCTACAAACTCGACTGTGTTCTGAATAGGTGTATAACTCTGGCTTCTTGGTTGGCTCTGGGACTCAGGCAACTTCAACTCCTCAGAAGAACCATAAATAAAAACCTACTTGAAACTATACACAATGATTGCTACTTACAGATGTGCATTGATTTGCTTGGGACTTTACACAGTGGTTTTATTGAGGTATCCATTTTCTAGTTCTAGTAATGCTAGATCTATGCTCAGGTGTTGGGTGGAATCCAGCTTCCCTGAAATCAATATTGCCTTCTGGTAGGATCAGAATTTCACATGAGTATGTTCACAGTACCCAAATTACATGCTTAGCAAAGAATCTGGTAGTGCTAATTTTCTGTAACTGTAGATAACAATACAGCTAAACAACCGAAACTTGTTCATCCCTAAAACTGGAACGAGTTAGTCTGTGCTCTTATGCAGTGCCTTTTTTAATTCTTTCCAAAGTCTACCAAATGCCACAAAAATGAGTCTTAATGTTAGTTGTCAAATGTTTCTCAGGCTGAAAGGGATTTGTTTCTTCACAATTGTATGATGAGGGAGATGTATGTAGCATTCAGAAATAGCTGAAAATTAAACTTGTAAGTAAGAATAACTTTAAAACTTACCAAGAAATAAAGTCTTCCAGCTGCTTTGCTTCTGTGGCAGATGGAAAATCCAGAGGCCAAATTGCTTTTGCTTCCTATATTACCCGATGGTGTGGAGTGTTAATCTGCAGCTGGAGCTGAAAACTGCTTTTGTCTTTCTCTGTTAGATCCAAGCTGTATTGAGGAATTGGGTTTCTCCATACGATAACCAAGCTAACCTAATCAGTTTTAAAAAAAGAAAAAAGTAATGCTCCAGTACGTGTTATTCCAGGAGAGAGCGAGAAATGTTGTCTGAAACTGTAGTGTTTAATTCTCACATGCAGAAGTGCTCTAAACCAGCTACAGCTGACCCAGATTCCATATACATCACTTTTGGACAGTGTTTTTTTAAACAAACACACACTCGGCTCAGCCGTTCAGCCCACCTATGATGTCACCGCGAGCACTCGGAGAGCAGAAGAAACTCCTCCTTCGGATTTCCTATCCATACCCTCCAGAAAAGGAGGGGGGTAGGGAGGCTGAGAAGTTAGGAACAAGGAAAGATTGTTTGCCAGTAGAAGGGAGGTACCATATGGCAACGGACTGTGCAAGAGTTCAGCAGGCAATTACAAATCAAACATTTTTACTATGCTGCCTAAAGATGCCTTTCAAGTTATTACAGTACTGGGCTTCATTTAGAAGAAAGATTCTTTCAGGCTGATAAAACTCGATTTGTGTTGCTGGGAATAAAAGGGGCAGCCTGGCTGGATACAACAGGAAAAATGAAGCATTTGTAGTCTAGAAGAATGTTCAACAGAATGTCGCATTCAATTCTTGACGTTCGCTTAATAAGAAACAGTTCCAGTTGTTAAAGGCATGAATTCTCCAGTACATGTGGAAAACGTTAAAACTCTGTGTGTGATGGTTTTGGGTAGGTATCAGAATATTTGATAACATCTGACTGGTGTTAGAAGTAGCAAAAGCCACAGAGATTACACTCTACAAGAAATAGAGGATCTGGTTCTGTCCATCCTCAGCCAGCACTTGAGTGCGTTCAGTTTACTGCCATTGATCTTCCTGGTTTCTTCACAAAGGCAGTGCCAATTAAATTTGAAAGAAAATTACCCTTGTGTGCTTTCAAAATTATTTTAGATTTCATAGAAATGCATCCAGTTGGTTTAGAAAGCTGCTCTTTACAGAAGACTCACTTTTGATTTAGCTAAAAGATCAGTACAAATCATTCAGAGGTAATTCTATAAATACAGTGGTTTATAGAATCCTGCATAATAGTGCAAGTGCCTGTTACAGGGAATTTCCTTAAATACAGTTAATAAGTATGATTTACTTCCTTCTGTGGAAGACTGATCGGGTTTGGGATTTTTAAGGCTTGTTTGGACATGGGTTAATAAATTCAGCTTCAGGACAGCTTATGCACTCTAGGTAATGCAGCAATTAAGTGCGACTACCTGATGTTTCTGATTATCTTTTCTGCTATTTAGCAAACTGGTTCTAGCAGAACAGAAAATTGAGAGATTTAGTAGTATATCAGGTCATGTATAATACCTTTTTATTCACTTTTTTATATGTCACCTTTCAGCCACAAGTATTTTAATTTGTTTCTGTGTGTGCGCGCACACGTGTGTGTATGTGTGTGTGTGTGTTGGTTTTGGAGGGATGCCCAGAGTTTCCCAGCTCACATTTGAGAACTGTACTGGTTAGGTGTTATACAAACACAACTGCTGTTCTTGTGAGGTTGTATTAATAGTCTTCCACCTGTAAAGCCAAAGTCCTTGTTACGATTTTGCTTGTACAAGGTTGAGAGTTGAAGTAAAATATAATGTAAAAATTTCCCTGTTACTGAAACAAGTTTCTTGAATAGTATTATTTAAGTTTGTGGTGTTTTGTAATAAGGATATCCATGGAAGATGCAAGGGATGCACACCAATTCCTTTGAACAGCAGAATTGGTCAGGATATGCTTTGCTTAGTTGAGTCAAATGGGTGAAGTTCAAGAAATGGAGTTGTGGTTAGAAATAAGCATTTTATGTACAGCATTATTGTGTGAGGAGGGGGATTTTCCTCTCTACATGATCAAGGGGTTGAAGGAGCAGTAAGGTTGCAAGCAGTGCAGGGGAAGATGAAGTCACTTTTCTAGAAGGCTGTTGCATCTTTGGAGCTGTGATTATTACAAACTGCAGGATTCATTCATTTCAGTCTGGGTGCCCATTTTCCCTAGTTAATTTTTCCCATGTTGCTGCAAGTTGAGCTTGAGTTTTTAGTCAGCTTGAAGAGTTATGGGTGTGATTTATCCTTCTGTTGTTTTTTAATTGCTGCATTGGAGGAATGAAGTAGTAGACTTCCTAAACAATTAATTTTGATGTTATATTTTAGCACTGTGTGTTTAGTATGCTTCATATTTGTCAAGAGAGCAGTAAATTGGTGCTGTGGAGGAGATGAGGTTTATGAATAGCTGTGCATGTCCTTGTAATTACTTTTAGAGTTCTAAAATGATTTCCCAGGTAAATCCAAATCTTATTCTGAGACAATGCTTTCATCAACCTGCTTTAACATTAGTGGAAGCAAAAATTCTTCACAGAATTCTTGATGAGGGTTTTTCTGCTCAATGAAAGACATTAAACAAAGAAACTTTTCATTCTGATCTCATTTCAGGTATTTATCTGTCAGACTTGACATATATTGACTCTGCCTACCCCTCAACAGCCAGCATTCTGGAAAGTGAGCAAAGAACAAATTTAATGAACAACATTCTTCGAATTATCTCAGATTTGCAGCAGTCATGTGAATATGGTAAGCAAGTGTGTAAATATTACAGTGTTAAAGAGAAAAACTTAAAAAGCTTAATTTTTTTTGTCTCCTGTGATGCAGTTTAAGTAAGGGTGGACCCATATGAATGCCATTAACACCCTCCCTCCTATTCTCAGCCCAAAAGTCTGGGTTTATTCTAGTATTGTTGGTTAAGACAGAGCATCAGGGTAAGGAGACAGAATAAAATTGCCTTTCTCTTACATCAAGCAAACTGCAGTACATATTTTCTGATGATAAATGTGTAGTAGTACATCACACTCAAGAGTATTTTTACTGGTATTTATAAGCTTGTATCCCTGTGTTCATAATTTTATGACTGAATTCTGAAAAGAGGATTGCTTTTGAAATAGTACTTTTACTGGAGATAATGAAATACATTCAGCTTGTCTTCTGGACATTTATAGTTCAGTCCATAGATCAGGTAATGTATTTTTTTCTTCAAAGATGGGTTCCCTCACTGTCCTCTTCCCATTCTGGCAAAGTTCTACTGCTGTGTTTGTGATGGTGGAATGTGAATTAGCACAGAATTGTGGCTTCCCTGAAAGCTCAGTGTGAAGAGAGTGTGGGCTGTGAAGGAGTCCTCAGACAGCCCTCCATGACTGACAGGCCTTCAGTTTGGCCAAGGATGTTGTCTTACCTTCCCCTTACATGTGCTCTGATGAGCAACTCTGGGGTTTATGTGTGTGGGGAGTGTCAGCTCAATGCATGAGAATTGCTAGGAAGTTGTAAAATTTCAGTATCATTAGGGCCTGTAGTTTGTACCTCCATCTCACACAAAAAGGCAAGAGATCTGAATCTGTCCAAATAGATTCTGGTAAAAAACTTTGCTTACCAATGAATGCCAATGAATGCTGTCTGTTTTCTAGATATTCCTATGTTGCCTCATGTCCAAAAGTATCTCAACTCAGTTCAATACATAGAAGAACTACAAAAGTTTGTAGAAGATGCCAATTACGAGTGAGTACAAAATGCTCTAAACTGACCATAACATTACAAAATTACTTCTATAATGCAAAGCCTATTACTTGTGAGACTGCACTTGCATTGGAGAATTGTATTATATTATTTGGGTGTCCCTGCCCATGGCAGGGGTTTGGAACTAGATGAGATTTAGGGTTCCTTCTGACCTACACCATTCTGTGATTCTGTGACTGTGCACCTCAGACACACCAGCTGCGAGCAGCTGTGGTTCCAGCAGGATGTTGTGCTCAAGGCACTTTCCCACATGCTGAATGGCAGATCTGCTCTCTTTTCTATGCCAGACTGCACCAAGCCCTTGCTTCAGGTCAGTCTGATCTGCTGAGAAACAGATCTGCTGCACTTTCTACATGTGGCTCACCTGTTCTGTCATTAAGAGGAATCCTGTGATTTGAGATGGCTTAAGTCATTCTTAATCAGAACAAAACCATCTGTGCATCCAGTCCCAAGTTTTTACTGAGAGTGACTTAAAGCTTTCACTTGCAGATAGTACTTCATTTTATACTTTTCTCTTTGATTAGGTTATAAAGTGTGAGTAAAATATAAACACTTGATTTTTGAGAGGCAGGTTCCCGTTCCTCTCTGTTTCCTCTGGCTGTTTCTCCCAGCCTCCCACCCAAGATTTCTACGTCCTTAATTAAAAGATTATTACTGTATTAAGTGATTTGGCATCCAGCAAAACTGGGGGAGGGAAATCTCTGGCAAGAGACAGGAACTGAGGATCGGAAACACCCTAAGGCAAATCTGTTGCCTATGAAGGAAGGTTTTGTTCATTGGTTGATGTGCTCGAGGAGGTTCCCCACCCATTCCCATCCTGCCCGCCCGGGAAGTTTGTCACCTCAGAGGGCTTGAATTGGTTGCTTGTGCAGCTCCCTTGGAGTGGCAGGAGGGGGATGCACACTTCAGGAACAGCTGTGCTTTGCCATTTAATGGCCCTTACTTGGATTTACTGAAAGGCAGCAAATGGAGACCCTTTCAATTTATGTCAGTTAACGAGGACTCAGACCCTTGGCTTCTCTACTGAGGTTTGTAAGTTGTTCTCTGAATGTCCTTGTGGATGCATCCAGCTTTAGCTTTTTCCTGGGATGTTCTGCAGCCTGATTTGGGAAGTTTCACTTGTCCATCACTGAGAGTAAAGCTCTGTGGAGCTTCGAAGGAAGGAAAAAAATTGAAGGAAGGAAAAAAAAACCAATCCAAACCCAAGCTTCTTACCTGCACTGTCTCCTTAGTACATTGTATACGTGAATTTCACTCTCCACCTTCCTTCACTTTCACTGGGTAGGACTCACTAGCAGAGGAAATTTGATTGATGAAGGAGCTGCAGTTTCTTCATCTTGTACAATCCCTGTTTTGGTAGCAGGGCAATGACTGGAGACGATGGCATATAAATCAAAAGCATGGCTGCTGTTCACAGAGTCTGGTTTTGCACTGATGAGTTTTGTACATCTCCAAAATGAATGTTTTTATGGTCAAGGAGTGTATTTCAAGAACTGTTCTTACTTAAAGTGGGTCCTCTGCTTTTCATCCCCCAAGGTGTCTGTCAGCAAAAAGGTTGAAGTTAGAGAACAGCGACTGTAGTTTGAATACATGTTTTTTCTTCCTAAAAGATTTTAATTGAAAATATTAAATTATAAAATTGAAATGAATTGTTGCTATACTGTCTGAGAATGAGAGGGAGAGGAGCTGTCAAACTTTAAACTTTTTCTCCCCAAAATTAAATAGATGCTTTTTCAGTGTTAGTAGTTTCAAAGATTCTAGTTCTGCAAACTGTGTGGACAAGATACACTTCACCTTCCTGGAGTTATCTGATCCTATAGTCTGTCTTTGTGGGCCTGCTGGAAATGGCATTAAAAAGTTACAGAAAAAGCTTGAATTAAGGCTAAAATCAATGTATTTTGATAATGTATTTCCAAAACACAAAAGAAGATTTTGGCTTTTGGACCAGTAAAGACAAAAGGCTTGGTGCTTGGCACACTAGTGCACTTCATATAAAAATTTAAATTTTAAGTGTTCCCAGAATAAATATTTTCACCAAAGTGAGGAGAGAAGATGTGTATTATTTTCATTTTTATTTTTACCAGGTTTTAGCAGGAATAGCAGTTTCAGGTGTGTGCCAGCCCTCTCAGGGCGCTGCAGGTTCTGGTGATCTATATAAACCAAAGGCAGGAAAAATGAGGTTTGAAAATAGTGTATGCTAAAGATAACTCTGTACTGTTTGTATTATCTTTGTAGTACTTCTTGCAATCACAGAATCAGGCAGCTTGGAATCATAAAATTAAAAAATTCTTCTTCACAAACTTATATTTTTATTTCCTGATAAAGTAATTTTTAATGTTTCTTTAATGCAGACTTTCATTAAAGATAGAACCGGGGACCAGCACCCCCCACTCTGCTGCTTCCAGAGAAGATTTAGTAGGTAAATGCTTAATAAATGTGAGAAGACTTGAGGTTGTCATGTGCATTATTTTAGAATTGCAGACATGGAAAATATTTGCCTGAGGCTATAAAGAAGTGTGAAGTTTAAACACTGCATGTTTGTAATAAAAAGTCTAAAGGTGATCTGTAAAGAAGGAATTGAGTCATTTTTTTAGGTTCTTGTATGCATTGTGGCACTAAGTTGTTAATGTCATTTGGGGTGAAGAGCTATTAAATATTCATTCTTTGTTGTGTCTAGACAGATGGGCCTTCATCTAAACTTTTCATGGCATAATATGCTTCCAAAAATGAACATTCTTCTTGGTCAATGCCAAAAGTGGTTGAAGGCAGGAGTTTGAAAATGTAGAATCAGTGGAACATGCCCAGTGCTGGTGTAGAGAATGCAGCCACCTTTAGGACTTGCAAAATACTTTCACTGGATGGGCTATTTGAACTAAATGTGTTTGGTTTTAATCCTGTGCAAAAGCCCTGAAGTGCAAGGGGTTTCATTATCAATAGATCAATGAGTTTTATTGCAGTTATCTCTTACAGAGGGGGTTTAGGAAGTTTTGTGCAACTTTTCCATGATTAGTAATTCTGAAATGACTTGGGAATAATGTCTTTTTTTCTTCCCAGGCTCTGAAGTCGGAGCATCTCCACAGAGTGGACGGAAGAATGTTGCAGCTGAAGGAGCCTTGCTACCACCGACACCCCCTTCACCTCGGAACCTGATACCCCACGGACACAGGAAATGTCACAGTCTGGGTTACAAGTCAGCATTTTGCTTAACCTAAAAATCCTGAGCTTTGTTTTTTTAAGTGGTGTATCATCCTTTCCATACAAAAGCTTTGCTTGTAAAAAGTAGCATGATTTGTGCACAGTGGTTCACTTACAGAGCAATTTGTGGCCAGGGCTCAGAGCTATAGTGCTGGTATCCCAACCGAGGAGAATTAATCAAAATAGGAATGGTGAATTTTTGATGATAAGACTAGTCAGTGAGTTAACCAGAATGGCTCTTTCTGAACAACTAAACTATCACTTTTTAGTAACCCAGTGCCACTGTAATTATTCAAAATTCGAAATTATATCGCTGCTTTATTGGTATTTTTACAGGGAGACTTCCTTTATAGACCTTCTTTGTAGACTAACTCTGTTTAGTAATGGCTTCAGGCTTTTTCCATATAAATGTATTACTAATAATATCTCTATCATTATCTCATCATTTCCCTTGTCATATCTTCAAAATGCAAGATTGTAGCTACCCAGTAATGAATAACATCTATTATGTAAGTTTACCTTTAACAAGCTACAATGCCATGCTTCAGTTCAGTTGTTATAAAAGACAAAAATAGCATAAGATATTGAAAGTAATTGTTAATGTACTCCTGACTTCCTCTTTGTTACAGGAGTTCTGTGCTGTTTTAAACAGCAATTCCTACTGATTATTTCTTTGTGCACAGTCACTTATGGCTTGGCTTTAGGGGCACAGGGCACTCAATCCTTCAGGATGTTAAAGCAGCTCCTGAGACACACCAAAGGCGAGGGAGGCTGTAACAGCTGTGTCCTTGTTCGTTTCCAGTTTCATACACAAAATGAACACGGCTGAATTTAAAAGCGCGACATTCCCCAACGCGGGACCGCGGCACCTGCTGGATGACAGCGTGATGGAGCCCCACGTCCCATCCCGAGGGCAGGCCGAGAGCTCCACTCTTTCCAGTGGAATTTCAATAGGTAGGAGCTGCAAACACACCCATGCCGTGCCTGGGCTTTTAATAAAGGTTTTAGCACAGTTGGGTGGTGACTGTGCCTACAGCAGTGCTGTTCTGAAATCCTGCTTCTGTTGTAGAACAAATCTGAGAATTGTAGGGAAAGGAGGGTGGCTTCATTTATACAGCATGAACTGAGGAATTATGAAAAAGAATTTTTTGTTTTTTCCCCTATTAGTGATACTGCTTCTGATATTCCTCAATGGAGGTGGAAGGAAGTGTGGGACATGATTTTCTATTCTCTTTTATTCCCTCACTAAATTGATTCAAGTTTTAAAAGTTTTATAGTGTGATTTCTATTTAAAATGCAATTTTGACTTGACAGTGTAAATTGCTGACAGTTTTAAGAGCATACTTTCTAAATGCTTCTGATTTTGACAGAAGATAGAAATTTAACTTTCCAATACCTCAAAATGTCAGAATCTACTAAATTTTGACAAATTACTTATCTTCCTATATTTAGGGTGGTGCTTTTTTGAGAAGTTCTGCTTCCTGAGTTTCTTTGCTCTTTTTTCCTGTTGGACATAGATCTTTTAAGTGGAGGGAGGACAGGACACAAGTGCCTCAAAAATCCACCTGTTTTCAGGGTTGACAAATGGAACCTCTCACTGCAGTCCTTTTTCTCAGAATTGTTTGATAGAATTCAGTGGTGTTCAAATTTTATGCACTGATGGTGATAGATCTTGTAGTGCTTCACATTTCTTTGGATAACTGAATTTTAGAAGCAGTTTTGCTTTTTAGCCTTCGTGGAAGGAAACAAGGTCACAGATTGTCAGATGATTCTGCTTTCAGGAGCTGTAAGGCTCCTTGAGGAGAAAGCCAGATGGAATTACACCCAAGTAGTTGGTCTAAATGAACCTGTTCACATTCAGACAGCTTCCACTATTTAGTGTGCATTGCCTATCTCTGTTCCCTGCAGGTTCTCTGCTGTGGCAAAGTTTTCCATTTTAAAATCTTCCATCAGGAATGGTGCTTCTCCTCAGTGTCCAGGCAGCTTCCATTCCCAGGGCTTGCACAGTGCAGGAGAAGCAAGCTTTTGTCACCTTTGCTGAGATGTAGCATTGCCCTTTTCTCAGGGCAATGTTTTATGGATGTTCTCTATCTAAATACCTAAGAAATTCTCTGCAGTTGATCCTTTTTTTCCTGGGTGAGTTATTTTTGTACCTCCATTAGAACCTAGCAGGGAAAGTTTGCCAGAGCTGACAGGCAGGTTTTCATAAGGTACAATTGAGAACCAGTCACCATTTATATATTTTGGAGAATATAGGATTTTCCTACTTTGTCTCCTCTCTGAATTTTTCAATTCTGTTCTCTAGTTCAAGCATGACCTGACAAGCTGGAACAAAATTGCCACTTGAGAAGACTTGTATAAATGACTTGTAAAACAGGAACCGTGGGCATTTTGTGCCAGATCAGCATTTCTGCTTAGAAATTCCCCTCTCCCATTCTCTTTCACCTCCAGCCTGCCCATACTGAGTTTTATCACTGTTTTGACAGTCCAGCAGTGTTGTTATTTTTGCTGTTTCTTGATGATGAAAATTTCAGTGACACAAAAGGTTGATAGAGGTGCTAGAAATACACATGGAAGAAGAGGGTAAGTTCTGGAGGTTTGCAGTATCTATTACTGCAGAATTCTTGGAAATGTAAGTTGTCTGGCATTCTGTGCTGCTGCCTCAGCAGGATTTAAGGAAGTTGATTGAAGCTGCTGAGTTCCTCCATCATGTTTGAAGTAGTCTGTTTACTCAGGACTTGGAATCAGTACAGTCACTGCAGCAGAGAGGAGGTTTATGGTATTCTACAACACAGCTTCAAAAGACGGTCAGGAAAATGTCTCCTGAATGTGTGTACTGAAAGGAGTGTTATTCCTCACCTTGCCCATAAACGTGGATTTAAACCTGTTGCTCTAGAAACAGGACTACCTTTTTTACATATAAGCCTATATAGGCCTTAACTTTTTGGATAAATGATCCTTCTTCAAAACATGGACAGAGTTTCTGCTATGTCAGCACCTTAAATGTGCTTTTAAAGACAACTGTAATGCTGCTTTAAATCACTCCTGTGTTTTGAGGGCTCAGAGGTGTTTAGACCTTTCCAGTCCTTTCATATTGGAGGATGTGCCTCTGTTAAATATCAAAACAGCACCAGTGTAGCTACACTGTCCATGGGAATCCATCAGCAAGTCTGTAACCTAAAATACACATTAATGCCATGATGGACATTTTGGTTATGTCGTGCTGGGAAAGGCTGACAGTCCACTGGGAATGGTGCAGAGCATGCCACAGGTTTTACATCAATGTCGTTAAACTTTCACAAATGAAGAATATATAACTGGGTGTTTTTCATTGCAATAAATTATTCCTTAAGAAGCAGTAATGCTGAAAGTGAAACAGGTGTGGTGTTTGCTCAAAATAGGCCGATCTGTGATGTGACAGCCATGATCAGAGACCTTTATCAGATTATTTTCTTAATTTCAGCGATTGAAGGCTGATTATGTACATTCAATTAATTCTGAAAACAAACAGACTCAAAAACATTAAAGAGAAAGCCTCTTTTATATTGATTTCTTGTGCTTGGGTCAAAACAGTTCTTGTTCTTAGTGCTGTGGGATGGTGTTCCATAGCTGATGGTCATGTGTTATCTGTACCTCTGGTTCTGTATTATAAATTGGTGCTTGTTGTCTGGACAACAAGATTTTAAAAAGTGAGAAATCTTTTTCCAGCAGTGCCAGGCTATCCAATTAAGAAGGAAGAAACAATTGTGCAGTCCCCTATACAGTGTCAGATGGGAAATGTTCTCTTGCATTTAGGCATGTAACAAGATGAAATAGTTTCTTGTAAGTTTTAAACATTTATAATGTAGATGGCTGCATTTGAGGTGGTTACAATTGGAGCTCTTCATAATCACATAGAGAATTGAAATTCTCAAGGATATGATTCATCTCATAGGTGGGTGACTAAAAAGAGGTTATATGGCTTGAGTCCTTAAAACCCCACTTTATTTCTGTTGATTGCAGACACTTTTGAGAGACAATAGATGAAAGTACAGACAGATGAACAGTGCTGAAAATGTCTGTTTTGTGCAGACAGTCCTGAATAGCTGCTTTCAGTAAACTGGGACAGATGCTTTTACTTTGCAGTGGAAGTTCATTGAGAACCCTCACTCACTGCTATCAGCCTGTCTAAAGCTACAACGTGGTTTTGTTCTTGGAGGGCTGTGTTTGGGTGAGGTCACTGTTTTGGTGAGGTCACTGTGTACACTCTGCCCTCCTGAGGTGTGAGCATTGCTCTTGGCTGGGTTCAAGGAACCACCTGCAAACTTGTACCACCTGTTCTCCTGCCTGTATTTGCCTCCTGTCACCTCCTCACCTAAAAGGAGAATAAATTAAGATGATTTTACTAGGTCCTGGTTCCACTCAGAAATAGCATGGAACTTCCTTTAATTCGTAAGATATTTTTCTAAAGAATACATGGTTCTCTAGTCATTCCCAATTTTCTTACACTTTTAAAGTATTTATTGATCAAGCATGCTCCTAAGTATCTTTGCAGGAATGTTCAGCTTGTTTCATTAATGTTCTCAGAAGCTTTGGATTTCCACCATTTCTTAGAATTTGGCTCTGCTGTGTTACTGAATTTCTTAAGCTGAATTTGTTTACAAAGGCAAATTGTTCAGATAATTCTTAGGAAGTAAAGGGACAGTGTGAAATAGGCCTCTCTTTTCATACATTGCTTCTGTGTGGCTTTCCTCCTCTTAGAGCATCTAACCTAGAGGATACCAAGTTGTTTTGCTAAGGAAGTTATTCTTTGAGAGTGCTGTCTCATGTATACCACTTAAAAACAGATGTCAAGTTATGAACACAGGAACACTGCTGAAATTGAGATTGTAACTTGAGGTGTTTAAAAATTCAAAGGAAACAATTACAGATTGTGTTTGTAGCAGTGGTGGATGCAAATTCTTTTTAAGCTATTTTTTTTTCCACTTATTTTTCCTAGTCTACAATGATATGGATGAAAGCTCTGGAAAAACTAGAACTCTTGAACATTGGCCTTTGTGTGTTGGAATCACTGGAGAATAGCTTCAGCCTTTGTTTTAATGCAGTTGGAGGAATTAATGCTGCAGAGTCAAAGAAAGGTATTTTAAATCCATGTGGATTAATGTAAGAAAGTGCCTTTGTAAGAACATTTCTACATTTCCAAACCTAAACTGGCATTAAATACATATGAGAATATCAGCATTTTAATGAATTCCTCCATTAAGTCACTGCCTCGAAATTATTGAGTTCTACAAGGGATTATATTTCTCTTTAAATAAACGGGGTATAGGTGTAGGTATACAGTGTATACATTTATTTTCAGGGGTCTTGGCAGCCTGTAGAGTAGGGAAGACCTTTACACAGCCAGTATTTGTTTGATTCCTTAACCTGTAGTGTGCTGTTCAGGTGTGTAGGACTCTTTGAGTCATCAGATCAGAATTCAGGTAGGGTTTCAGGCAGAAGAAATATGTCAGGTTTATTTATATATTTCCTTTATATGAGTGTATGGATGCCTGTCTCTTGCCTTAAACGTGGATACCTGGTTTTGCTATTGTGAACTACTACTTCTTTAGTGCTAGGATAAATAAAAAACTTTATAATATTAGAGGTTAAAAATGCACATGTGGGTGCCTGGATTTGAGAGGAGAAGATAGTCTAGCAACCCAGTTCTTCCCCAATCTTTCTTGCTTGTGTTTGGTCCAAGGCTCACACTCTGGATGTGTTGAAATCAATGTAAAAACTGCCTTTTTCTCCCCCATCTTTATCCATCTGGTTATTTGCTTTTGCTTATTTTTCACAGTGAAACTCAGTGATGGTATTAAAAGTTTCTGTCAATTCTCTGGCATGATATTGCTCGAGTCCTCTGCCAGAGTACCTACCATCTGTATTTGGTTAACTGAGGAGCCAGAGTTGAGCTGCTTAAACTAAACCTAAATAGTTAAATGGTCATGAACCGTATATGAGGATTTGCAGTGTGGTTGTGAGCTCACCAAAGCAGAACAGAGCTTTCAGGGCATGGAGCCCATCTCTGTGGTGTTGTCTGGGCTGGGCTGTGCTGCAGCTGTTGATGTTCAGGCCTCTTGACCAGTTTTGTGTGTTTTCACGGTAGAATTTCAAGCTCTGTCGGGTCCGTCACCAGCTCTGGAAACACGGTGTAACCGGAGCCAAGAGAGTGTCGATGACAGATTTGGGAAGGGGAAAGAATTTTTAGTCTGAAGACTTTTTAAACTCTTTGGGGTTGGTTTGTTTATATTAACACCTGTTTAACTTTGGGGACTAACTTCTGGATAAAGAAAGCCTGTGTTAAGTGTTCAGTATCCCCAGACTTGCTCCGGTGAGTGGGTACCGTGACCAGGGGAGTGGATATGGGGCAGCACAGGCATTCCCTATCCCATAACTGGGAACCTCACTCTGTTTGTGTGGCTGGAGCACAGACATCTCACAGACATCCATCTGCATGTGCAGATGTGAGCAGAAAATTCACATCTGAAGGGAGCTGCAGTGCCAGGGCTCTCCTGACAATCCTGAGCCTTCTCAGGTAATCACCAGCACACTTAGCAAAAAAAGCCATCTTGCCAAATGCTGTTACTCCTAAGATAGGAAAAAAAACCTTCCTAAAGATTTTATTTTATTTCAATTCTGCACAAGAAATTTATTAGCAATGAAGAAAACTAGGAAGATAGTGTCTTGAGTTAAGTGGCTTCTTATATAAAGCCAAAATTTGTTTAGTAAATTAACTAACAGAAAGGAATTATACTACCTAGGATTTGTTATTAAATTTAACCTGAAGAACTTGTTTGAGGTTGTTGGAAAAACTCAAATATTGAGTACATACTTGAGAAGAATTTAAGAAGGTGATATATTTTTAGAGTACTGAATGAATGAAATATTTCCAGTTGAGGTGACACTCAAATAGTGCACTTAATGTTTAAACAGACTTGGCTAGACATCTAACTTTTATTAAGTTAAAAACAGTCCCTTTTACCTCTGTTTTGTTTTGGAAGGAGGGATGTCAGGTATTTTCTTTCTCTTTTCAGCAAAGGGGTGTTTTTAGCATCAGAACTCATATCATGCAAAATATCTCCTAGAAGGTTTTAGAATCTAAAATATTCCTGTTGATGTTTTTATATGGATGTTAGAGGAATAGTCAACACTAAAATTCAACCTTTTCCAGGTTTTTGCTACAATTTTTACAGCTGTAGGAATCAATGTAAATGTTAAATCAATTGCTATGATGTTTTGTGCAATTTCTTTACAAATTGGTGTTGCTTTTAAGTATAATTGGCAATTTCTGTATAGATTTAACTTTTTAAGTGAAATTTTTGGTTTACAGAGGCCTCAAATTTTCCTGTAGGTTTTCCTCACTGTACTGATACTGTACCAAGGATTGTCACTTTGTGGCAGGTGACATTTTAATTCTTGTTGTAGATTGCTTTGCATTTTTACAAAGCAACACTAGCTTTTAAATCTTTCTGCAGTGTATTTAGCACAGCAATTTAATATAACTTTATTTGCAAAGCTGATACAGTTGCCATCAAAATGTCATTTCAGGTAGAATTTTAATGTATCAGCCTACTTTAAATGCAAACAATAACTTCATAATACTGTCTTATTAGGGGATTTTAATTGTGTGGATTTATCATGTGGGCCTAAATTAAGTAGAGCTCTAGTCATATTAAATCTTGCTAATATAAAGTTAAATCTAAGCAGAAGTAAGAAAATAAATGAGATTCTAAGTATCCCTAATGCTTTCAGTCCTGGCTGAATGACTTGACAGAAATTACTGCACCATTTTGCAGGACAGATTGCTGCAAGTAACCACAAGGAAAACTTCAATTTTAAGCAAGGAAGAAACTATTTTTAATGTTGGGGTTCAACTCTACCATCCTAATTGTCATTCCAACTGCTAAAAGTATTTCAGCATCTTAAGGTCTTACTATAAGAGATTCTACCACAAACAGCTTTCTTCAAAGACAATCAGCTGGGAGATCTTACCCAAAATGCTTGCTTAAAGTTGTCTCTGAATTGTTACATCTGATTCTGTCTCCTCACCCCCAAACCATGCTGCTTATTAATTTGAAGAGACTTTGTGTATTGCCTTAGAGAGAATATGATTGTGGTTTCATTAGGATGAAGTAAATCATTGAGCTTTTCACTGTGATGTAGATCGTAGAATTTGCTGAAAGTATTGAGTGATACTCGCTTCTTCCAGGCTTTGCAAAGACTCCTACTGTAACAGCAGGCTCCACCTGGATGGGTTACTCCACTGGTTACTCCTTTTTTTCCATGGGTTGATTCATGATTTACCTGGTAGTCTTTCTGTATAGAAAAGCCTGGAATAATGTGGAGTTCAACCCACACATTCTCTTTTCCACATTGCAGGTCAGGTGTAAACTGTGCTGAGCAGAACTTCTGATTATTTTTAAGGTCACTTCTTTGCTCCCCTGCCCTGTGGCACCTGAATGTTTGCTGACAGATTCAGTCTGAGAGGGTCACAGAAGTGCAAGCATTTACTCAGCCGTGGTACCTGGGTTTCTCTGGTCACTTGTCCCCACAGCTCCAGTGGAAGTGTAAATCACAGGAGGAGTAACTGTGCTGCTCTTCTGTGGACAGAGCTGCCTGCTGCTGTAACCTTCCCAGCAGCTGGATGCTTAAGGATCAGTGATCTGCAAATGGAAGTATTAAAAACTTAAAGGCACTTCTAGAAAGTAATGCAAGTTACCTGTTGAGTATTTTACCTCCCTGCTTGTAGCCCTTTAAGCCTCTGCTGAAACATCACTTCTGTATCTGGAAGCTCCTTCCCCTACACTAATGGCTCTTTCTGTAGTGTTGGTGTGAACCAGGTTAGGAAAAATTCAGAATAAGCTGAGACCAAATTATCTAGTGTCCCATAGAGATCATAGTAATACGTGGATGTTGAGCTAATGTTTGCAAAAGAGGCATCTCAGTTGAATTGGCTGGCAAATAAAGGCATGTATTTTCTCTTAAATTTTGCACAGAGGGAACTTCAGCCCATGCTGAGATTTTCATGGCTCTTGGCTGGAATTGTCCCTGCTGTGTGTAAATCTTTATTGCCTCCATTTTTACTCCATGTTTACTCAGTGAATATCCAGACCTACTTTGTACACATGATTTTTCAGGGCACCACTTTTCCCTGCTGATCTTCTGTCTCAAATTACAGAGAACTGTATTCCCATTTTCAGCTGCTGTTTCTCTGAGGGAGCTTTTAAGGAAGGCGCATTGATACAAATTTGTTTGTTTGTTTTCTGGTTTGTTTCAAATAATTGTGAATAAATTCTTCCCTTTGTATATGGGTGCTCAGGCAGCAGAGCAAACAAGGTGGCAAGTTAGTGTGCCAAAAGGTGGCTTCAAGCATTGACTGACATTGAATGGCACTGATATTTAGGTTTTGGGATTATCTGGAACCAAAACCATTGCTTTGAAATGGTGAACAGGGATAATAGCTGATATGGGCAGCTGGGCTGGTCTGAAAGGTGAAGAGAAGCAATGCAACAGCTTGGAATTGTGTATGGAAGCTACTGATCTCTATTAACAGCATCTCTACTGATAATTATTTACTGATTTTTAATGTTACAGATAACACCTGCCTCATATCTGTATTTAAATACTCATTTTCAGACTGATGGCATTTACTGGAATTGTACAGTTACTGTCTTACTTATGGGACTGCCATGAGTGGATGCATCAGACATTTGGGGTTTGGGATTTTCCTCTCTTTTCCATGTTTAAAATAAAATAGTTGTGGATTCATTTACAAAACACAGAAGGAAATAATACTGTTGTGATCTGATTAACTGGGACATAGCCTTAAAAAGTTGTTTAAGGTTTCTCTAACTTGTATTAGAGATTCAGCAATGAAGTTGCAACTCTGGGTCATGACTCTGTGTGACTTGATAAGAAATTATTTAAATAAGTGACTTGTTTCCCTGAATTCAGACAAATCTGTGTTTAGGGTGCTCTTTATATTTTGAAAATGATTCCCATTTATTATTGCTCCTTTTCTTCAAATTCTTCATGTGGAACTGGACCTTGTCCCTTCAATCTCCATTTCAGTTTATGTGAAATTCCTGAAGCAAATCACAAAGTGTTTTCCTTGTAGTATTTTACTGAAGTATTTTTGTGTGTTTCATCTTAAATATTCTTATATTCAGAATCTCAAATATTCTGATTCTTTCAGATACAATTAACAGAGATGGTTTGTAGATGATGAAATAAGCTATCACTTATATTTCTCTAGGTAGCAGTGATGGTTCTGAACTCAGTGAAGAGACTTCCTGGCCAGCATTTGAAAGGTAAGAAAAACCTGTGTTTCTCTATTCACATTGTTACTTAGAGTCTCTCACATGGTCCTGAAAATGATGGTTTTTGTTAACTGAACTAGAGATCTTCTGTCTGTAGGAACGCTAAAAAACTGTAGTAAGTTTGCTGCATCTGTTAAAGCAGCAGAGAAACACCTTCTGCTCACTAATGGTTCATAGGGCTTTTATCTAATTGTGTGCTTACCCAGTCTACAAATCCTTTAAGGAGCTCAGCCAGAGAACCGTTAGACCCCAAAGGTTTTTTTTATATATGTGGATATCACATGTGCTCTTTGTGTTTGTCTGATTTTCATTTTCACTTGCCCTGAGACACTTCATCTGTTCATAGTCCCATTGCTGCATTGACACTGTCACCTCTTTTGTCTCTCTCGTCCTCTTTTCCCTTCTCATTTTCATGGGAAGACACAACAACGCCCCTTGCTAATGTCTGATTTTTGTGGTCCAGAATTAATAAGTTGTTCTTTATCCAGCACCTGCAAGTGCTCAGGTGGCTTTGACCACTTCAGCCCATTCTCGTGTTGTATTTGAGAATGTGGAAAAAGGCAAACAGCTGTAGTTTAACACAGAAAAAGGCGGAATATTCACCTTCCCACAGCTGTGTGAGAAGCACAGTACAGTGCATTGCTTGCTTCTATAACACAATTTCAGATGATCCATCAGCTTCAGAGTTGCCATTAAGGACTTTTGCTACCATGCTTTTACATTTTTCATAGGAGTTTTTTGTCAAAAAGCTTTGTCTTTTTAGTTGGGAACTGTTGCCACAAACATATTCTGATAGAAGTCCTTGAAGCAATTAAAGTTCTGTGTTAATTTTGGAAGAAGTCTTTGAAAATCTCTCTGTTCCAAAGGTGATGCCTTACACCTGAAATATGAATACATACATGAGGAAAGTCCCTTAACAATTTCATTAGGTAACATTCCATATGACCAAAGAACACAAATGGGGTGAGAAAGGCAACCTCTTAACTTGCAGGCTGCATCACAAAGCACATCCAACATTGAAAAGGTTTTCTTTCTTTTCCTTCCCTGCTGCCTTATGGAATTGTGAATTGGTATCAAGTTGTTTCTCAAAGATAAAAAGTCATTAAGTTAGAAAACATGGTGAGCTGAGAGTTTTTATCCAGACCAGCATAAGAAACTTTAAAATTTGGGTTTAAACTTATGATAACACTCTTCAGAATAGTGTGGACTTCTGAGACAAAGTAGGGGCTTTTCATCCTTGTGCTAATGAGAACTGGCAGCCCCAGGCTCCCCCAGTTAAAAGGCTTGCTCCACGTCAAACAGAAGATTCCTTCTCCAAATTCCACTTGCCTTCTGTACTTCTCTCTCTCCTGAGAGAGCTTTTGGGAACCCTGTTGGAGGTTTCATGTGTTTCAGGATGAGTTTTCTTGCCTGCTTCCAGGGAGAGGGATTAGGGTTCCTCACAGACCTTCCCCCACACCATGTGTGAAATCCCTAGAGATCTGCAGCAACCTTGAGTCTGTTCCTCGGTTTATAAGATGATGAGGCAAGTTTTAAAATTTAATAGGTAATACACTGGCATGCAAGTGTCAAAGTTTAAGCTCACTAGAGAGGGTTTCTCTCTGGTTTTGGTCTGTACAGTGGAGCACAGTGGTTTCCATTCTTTATAAAGATACTTTATTGAGGGAGAGGCATTAGTTGCCTGGAATTATCAACTCAGGCAAAACTGGGATACTTCTAGTGTTAATGACTATCTTCTATGCAGTGCAAGTAGGAATTCAGTATTTCTCAGTGATTTAAGAACAACTTTGGGTAGGAAGGCTTAAATCTGCATCTTACGCCTGAAGAGGAAAAAAACAATTCCTCCACACACAGATCCCCCAAGCAACAAAAGGAAATGTAAAGCATATTCTTGTTTTTCCTGGACTTTCTGCTTGTAGCTGGGGAATGAAGAAGGGATGAGAACTAGAGCCACTGATTGTTTTTAAGTGCAACAGAATCTTAGTTTGAAACTTGAGAGTTTTCAGCATTGGGGTGTCCCTTCAGGCCAATCAAAATTACTGGAAGGACTAAAATTCCAAGTCCTTACAGTTATATCCTGTTAAGGGCAGTGTATTAAGTGACACTTCAGTCTCACTGGTTGTCATCCTGAGTGTCTCTGAATAGATTTCCCTGAAATAGCAGGATTCCAAGAGTGGTAGCCTCCTTGTTATGCAAAAAAAAAACCCAAGCTTAAAGGTAAGACGAAAACATACTTAATTTGCATGCCAAATATATGTATGCAACAATAAACAACTCCTATTTATTACTTTTTTGTTGTTGTTGTTTCATTCCCCTGTATCTTGAGTGTGTTCTAAAAAATAGTTCGTAAGGTCAAAGATACCTGTTATGTCAAGAAACAAATGATGGCAAATTGTGGAACAGGTTAGTGGATGGTGATTCATTAATATCTTTTTGATAATAAGGTTCGTGCTTAACTGCCTGCTCCCACAGAATTGCTGATTTTCTTTCAACAGAATACAAGCAACTAGAAAAATGAATACAAAATAGGACGTGAGGACAAAGTGACTCAACAATGCTTGTGTTGACTAAAATGGAATTCAGTCAGTTTAGGGGATTTGATTCAGAAAAACAAGGTTCAGTGTTCAAAAGGCAGGTCTGAGGCACAACTCCTGAATAGGGATAACAATATGGATCAGGTAAATTATTTTAAAATGTGGAGCTTACAGGTGAAGTGTATAGCGTCGATGAACTGGAAAATTGAAATATTGCTGAGCTGATTTCAGTGTTACTTAGCCCAACAGGATTTTAAACAGTGCCAGGTGTATTTTGACAGAGCTTGTGGTTCCTTTCAGCCCAACAGCTTGTATGTTTTCATACTCCTAGAAGTTGAAACTGTTTTTGGTAGTAAGATCTAAAGTCAGATATCAAGATAAGTTTTATCAATATGGTTCCTTTACATTTATTTAGTCTAAGCTAAATGCAGACTTTGCTCTGAAAATGTGTTATTCTTCAGTGCCAGTAAAACACTTCAGTATTGTGAGTTCTGACGAAGAGAACATCTGATGAAATGAAAAAAACATATTATTTACTTCTGCATGCATTTTTCTAAATAAAATTATTCGCTTTTTCTTTCATGGAAGAAGTGGTTCTGTGATATGCACACAAAAAAAGTTCTGTGCTGTTTTAGCAGTCGTGCTGTTTGTGTGAATGAAAGTATATGTAATACCTACAATTTATAATGGAATCCAACAGGAACAGGTTGTACCATTCTCTCGGTCCGGGGACAAGAGTGTCACGAAATGGCCATCGAGGCCACATGAAGGCCAGCAGGTACAATCCCACTGCACACAGAGGTGTCAAACCTTCCCTCTGCTGTTGGTGATTTGGTTTGGTTTAATTATTAAGTGGGTGTTTTCTGATGTTACCTTTCTAACTTATATGTCAAAATAAAGGTAGAGACCTTTTTCTCCAGACTTAAAACTTTTCCCTTCAATGACTTACTCTATATCAGCATAAGGACTGCTCATTCCAGTCTGCAAATCCAAATTCTGAACCATTGGATCTTTCTGTCAAGGCTTAAAGATGTTTTGCCAGGGTAGCTTTTGAACTGCCTGCCATTGTGGAGCAGTGCTGGTAGTTCTCATGGGGAAACAAAGCTCCTGGTGCTAATGGATGGCATTCCAGATGTTTCCTTTGCTGGCTGTTCTGTACTGAATTTCTTTGCTCCTCTTCCCTGAAATCAGAGAGATGCCTAAAATGAGTAATACATGCAAATTGCCCCCAGTTTAATATAAGTAATAATTGCAAACTGACAGAGTAACATAACTGATTATTCTGATTCCTTATGGATACAGATTCTGTCTCCAGCTGTTTCACTGTAGTTGGGAAAGAAATTGCCATTAACTGTGAAACCTCTGTCATGTTAAGAAGCAAGCATTGTCTCACTGAATTACACCCATGTTCACATCTGTCAGTGTCCAAAATTGTCTCCATATCATCATCCTCAGTAGGTGCTGCAATGAAAGTGTTTTCCACATTTCCAGTTTACTTTGGACATAGGATGGATGAAACAGCAAATCCTGCCTTCCTTCACAATGATTTTCGGTTGCTGTTTTCTTAGAAAGCTGCTGGGTTCAGCACTTCAGTTACATGCTCTGATTGACATTTACTGAAATGATTCCTGGTTTAACTTTTCTCTGATTGGAAATGTTTTTGAAGCCAGTCAGCTTTGTAATTTTAATCAAGCTCACTTTTCTGTCCTCAGTGCTGTACCTGGCCTTTGTTTCAGCCCATTGCTCTCCGATCTTTCGTAGGGCAGATGATCAGTAGAGCACCAGTTGCATTAAAACACCTTAAAGCTGTGGTTTGGGTTTCTACTCTTTATTCCTGCTCCTGCCCACTCTCCTTGCTTTCAGATATTTTAAGTATTGTGCATGTTTGAGCTGTGCTTTGTTTTTGATGTGCTAATGGTTCTGGTGTTTCTAACCAAAAAACAGTCAAATCTTTCCTGCGAGGGCTGAAGGAGAGGTTTAACATGTACAGCAACTGTACCAATGTACTTCAAATGTTTGCTTTTTAAAATTAATCATTCTTGTCTTTCAGTCATGTTTTGAGTTTTAATTTTTTAATTGAGGATTACCTGCTTGGCTAATTAATTTTTCTGATCACTTTTGCTTGCGAGTGTTAATTCCACAGCAGCAATTCCTTGTAACAGCCAAAGTCTTTTTCCACAATGAAGTCAAATAAAATTATAGTAAAGATATTTGCATTAGTTTTTGGTAATGGTTGGAAAATTAGGAAAAATATTTTTTCACACAACTCTTCACATGCTCCTTTCAGCTCCCTAGAGTCTGAAGATTTGGCTGTTCATTTGTATCCAGGAGCAGTTACTATTCAAGGTGTTCTCAGGAGGAAGACTTTGTTGAAAGAAGGCAAAAAACCTACAGTAAGATTTTTATTTTTTTTTATAATGTTCTCACCTTCTTCCTTTGCCCAGTTATAAATACAGTAAAATGGCCATTGGGCAACTAGTTCAAGTGTCTGAGATCTCCTCTTGCTGATTAAGATCTAGGGTCATTGCCAGAGTTGCCATTCTTCTGTTTGGAGCATTTATTCAGTTTGTAAGGCTATACACATAATCTAGGAAGTAGAAGAGAGGAGGATGCTGCATAAACTTTTCTACAATTAGTGATGACTTTAAAATGCAGAGAATCATGTTTTGTCTTCCTTAACAGGAGCTAAATCCCAGAAGTCTATCAATACATTATAACCCATAACCATTTGCATTGCAAATACTTGATGAACAATTATAAATCAAAATACACATTCAGGACAATGTGGGATCCTTATGGCAGCATAGATGGAATAGGAAAGGGATAGATGTACTCTGACTCCACAAAGTGTTGTGTAGGGGTTGCAGGATGTATAGAGCAAGATGTAGAACATTTTTCTTAGATTAGAGAAGAAAGGCACATGTTCTTTCTGCTTTCTGGAGTTTTCATGCATTCATAGGCCTGCATGAATAACAAACAGCAGCTTTGGAAACATGGCTGATGCTTGGCTGGACAGTCAGTGCTCTCATGTTCTTTCAGGATGGTGCCTTCTCTTTCATAGTTCAATGTTATGAAGCATCTCATCCATTGCACTTTTGGATTTGTTTGTTTTTTTTATTTTCTTTCTAGGTAGCATCTTGGACGAAATACTGGGTGGCACTGTGTGGAACCCAACTCTACTACTACGCTGCAAAATCCCTGAAGGCTGCAGAGAGAAAACATGTATGTAAATCAGGCATGTTCCAGTATCACCTGCCAAAACTGAAATGTGATTTCCTGATGTAAACACTGAGAGTAGTTCGGGCCTTGCCTGATTTCTTGTCAGCACTATCCTGTCTCCCAGTCAGTCAGTCACCTCATATGGATATACCCCAGGGAAATATCATTTACATTTATATGCTACACCAAGAACATCTGCTTTGCATCTGCCGTGTGTCTCTGACTTTGCAGGTCTTTTAGGAAAGGAACTGTGTCATTGGTCTGTCCATTTTCAAAGGCAGAAGTTCTGTCCTTGGATGATTGGCAGCAGTTTGTTGCCATTTGAAATCTAAACAAGCACTGATGAGGAAAAACTGAACAGTCACAAGATAGAACAGTTAAACCTATACTGATTTCATCTATGTGGTAAAATTAGACCATTTGATTTTTCTGTATAATCCTGTAATCCATTAACTGCAGTGGAGTACCAAACACTTCATCTGCTCAGCAGAGAGCTGATGAAGATGTCAGATAATGCTGGGGTTCCTTTTATTTGCTGCAGCTTGATCTGAAGGAAGCTAAAAATGCTTTGCTTATGTGGGGAAGGAGTGAGATGATTTTCTGTACTCGTCCCATGGATGCAAAGATGTGCATTGTTCCTGTTTGATGTCCCTGGTTAATTATAATGATTCTCTTTAACTGGGTAAAATTTGAGATACTTGAATCTGAGTTCATTCACTACTCAGAATCATTACTTGGCTGCCTTGGCAGATGTTTCAGGTTAATTTATGACAACTTCACTGTAGAACATTTGCTTTGCATAGAGCTTATGGAGTTTTGCAAACTGAGCTGTGCTTTTGGAATCCTTATAAAAGGGACTTTTTCTCTGGTACAAAATACTGTTTTCTTATCCTCATCTGCACATTTTTAAGTGCAGAGGGTAGAGATTTGAAGTTTAACATTTCTGGTTCACAGGCTTCTGAATATTTGAAGTTGCTGTGTGGAAAGTTTGTGTATAAAGTTCTCTTAATCTAAGAGATTATTTCCCACTTTTATTGGAAATTCATTAGGAAACAGTATTATAGCACTCAAAGTGGCTAACAAAAACTAATTACTTTCAGAACTATTTTATGTGGTTTCTTGGCCATCCACCCCTACTAGCTTTGCTTAGGTAAGATTGAAACTGATCCTACTTAATTTGTGTAGGCCAGGCTAAAGGTTCATTAGCCAATCCTTCTGTCTTCTGGGTGTCTTTGGAGAAGTGTGTGTGTTTGGATGCATTTGTTTCTGGCTTCAGTGAAAACTTTAGGGAAGGATTCCACCTCATTAAAAGGAAGGAGCAGACTTGTAAGCTATTATGAGTAGAAATGCAAAGTATTAAAAAAAAAGGAGGAACCAGGAGAAAACTTGTGCTGACATTATGTCACTCACAGCTAGTTGCCTGTTTTTTCTGGAAACACTGAGAAATGGAAAAGAAATTTTTGTGGTAATGTCAGACTTTGTGTTCCTGTTACTGCTGTGATTCCTTCAGGCTTTGTGCCAAAATTGCATTTTTTTTTCTTTTAGGAATAGAATATGTATTTGTAAGTCTCCCTGGTTCTGTATTCTTTACAAAATTGTGGAGGACTTCACCAGCCTTGCATCTATTCATTCAGAAACTTTTTCACTCTTCTGTATTAGAATTTTAAAATAATCTAAATAGCATGCTGGCTTAGAGAACTTGAAAAAAATGCTTAGCAAGGAATTATCTTGATTGGAAATGAAGTACATTGAATCTGCATTGTTTACACATTTCCTTCAGAATAACAATTTCAATAATTGAAATGGTCTTCCCTTTTCTTTAGCAAAAGTAAGCGAAGGAAAAAGGTAAACAGTTTGGTATCTCATCCTTCTGAGTCTTTGTTCCTGCAAAAGCCTTTACTTCACCTAGAAATACAGTCACATCTATTTAGAATGCTCTTTCAGAGATTATTTTCTAAACCTCTTGAACTGACTTCTGATATTCTCCAAGTCACTGATATGTTGTGACACCTACAACATCTAAACAGCTGGTGAACAGAGGCTTAAGAAGCCAAAATCTGTCTCACATGCTTGTGTGCTCATGTTTCTTTGTCCAAGGATGTTCCAGCAAACCAGTAAGGAAATTTGCAGAGAGAGGTGAAGAGGTGTTGGAGTCCAGGCTGCTTGCAGATTTCCCACTGGGAGTCTACCAGCCTTGTGGTTAGCAGATACTCAGAGGAGTTTGAGGAGGGCAATTCCCAGGAAAAGGAGGAAGAGGAGTGGTAATTAAAAGCAATGACTGCTGAAGAATATTAATTTCTTTGTAATAGTTGGCTCTATGAAGTTGGACTGAACTGTCCAGCACAACCATGGATTTGGCTGTACACAGCTCGTGTCTTGTTTCAGCTTTGTAGTGCAGCAGACAGGCTGCACTTCTTTTGCCAAGCTTGTTGTGAAGCTCAATCTCTAATTTGGTTTCCCAGGTGCAGTTGAGGTTAACTGCAGTTTGGGTTGTCTTTTATTTAAACAAACAGTTTGCAGTGAGTAGTCACAGTGAACCTCTGCTTCAGAGGTTGTTAAAACACAGAGCATGACCTCTATGTTAAAATTAGGGTGGGAAACCTGGTAACTGCTGTTGAGGTTGAGGGATTGGTTGAAGGATTCCCTTTTAATTATTAAAGAAGCTAATAATAGGTGGTCAGTAACTTGTTCAGCTGCTCTGCCTGTGTTGTACTTTGAACCTGGCTATTGGTGGCTGAGGTTTCCATCCATTTCATTGCAGAGATATTGTACAGAGCCTCAGCTTTGGTTCTGGACTCTGTGGAGATGACTTGTCAAGGGTCATGCTTCAGCTCACGTTTGGTTGCATTTTCAGGAAAAGTTAATCAGGAGAGAATGAAGTGCAGATGGTCAATCATCCCTAGATAGCTAGAGCATGAGTAAATGCTCCAAATACTGTCCAGTGATATTCCCAGGAGGCTCACTCTGCAAAATGAAGAGATCCAAGGCTAGATTGAGGCTTTGGGGTTTTTTACTTCACAGATAAAAAGGATGATGCCATCTACTTTGAAGCAGGTCTCTTTTTCAAAGATTGATACATTGGAGATTTACCTCAGCAAAATATTCCAGGCATCTTCTGGAGCCATTTAAACATCTGTCTTTTCTGCTTCCTTTCTCAAGCCCTCTGTGACATGGAAAGGAACGCTGGCAACAAAAGAGTCAGGCTGCTATATAAAGTTTCCTGGCTGGAGCTCTCATGGTAAACGTGTCTTGATTACAGGCATGCTTTTGACCATTCTGCTGCTGCAATTGCTTCAGGCAGCTTGGAATGCACCAACACTCAAAGCTCTTCCAGGCTTATAATAGCCAGCCTCTTTGGAAAATTACCTCATAAAAATCCCAGAGTAATTTCTGAAAAGGGGCAAGAAATCCCCCCCCCTTTTAAACACAGACAAGCCAGCTCTTCTCTTGCCTGTGGTCAAAGGCCAAGGAGTGCATCCAGTATTGTGTGCTGCATCGCCTAAGAGTAACAGCATAAAATTGGCATTGAGTTTAAATAGTGAACAGGTTTCAGTTATTACTGCAGTAATGGAGAATTGTCTATAAATGAGGATGTGAACTTCAGAACCCAGAGATGTAGTACAGCACAATCTGAGAGGAATGTGTGGACAGTGGTTTTATTCTTATGCTGAAATGGAACTCACAGAGATGCCTCTTTGAAAAACTATAGCACTTGTGCACATTTAGAATAAGGCAACAGTAAGATTAGCCACTTGAACTTAGACTTAAAAGAAGCACCCTGAAAAATGGGAATACACCTGTAAAATAACTGTTTATTATCTCAGTGATTGGACTTGACAATTTCTGTGACAACATGGAATTCGTGAGAGATTTCTCCCTGTTTGTAGGTACTTGGAAAGCAATAAAGACTTTTTATGCTTCATGCTTGAGCACAAACCCTGGATAGTTCTAAGCCTTCCCTTGCATGCTATAATCAGAATTAGATCAATTCATTTGCATTCCAGAAAACTTGGTGCTTGTGGCTCAGGCTCTTTCACTGAAAAACCCTGGTGAAGAATGCTGTCATTCTGGGAAGGATGTTCAGCCACTGAGAAAATTATTTGAATATTAGAAACCTGTAGAATCTCAACAGGAGATGTGGAGGAGGAGATTTGTAGGTGCCAAAGTGTTGGAGTAAAAAGTCTGTTCACAGATTAATTCTGAATTTTTGATTCAGAGATTTACTTATAAAAGCCTTTGAGCTCAGAACAACAACAGCAAAAATCAATTATGTGAAGCCTAGTGCCAGAGCTGTGCAGTTTTCCATGTGTATAATAAGAGTCATTCCAGTGGCCTATATTACAAAAAGCAAATAGGAACCAGGAACATTAAATTACAATGAAGCTTTCATTCCCTTCATGTTAACAAAGCAGAATTGCTGTTAGCAAGGCTCTGTGCATCAGCAGAGGCTGAGCTGCCCTGGGGGACTGTGTAAACATGGAATACAAATCCAGCTGAGCATGGGGATGGAAAGCTGACACGTGTTTCGAGTGATGACGGATTGACGCTGGCAGGAAACACTTTCCTTGTGTGGAGCTTTTCATTTTGTGGAGAAGCACCATGATTAACTGATGGTTTTGAGTGAAAAGGCAAGGAGCTCTAGCAGTTTGGATGTCAGTTTGACATATTGGATACCTGTTGGGATATACAACTAGGATAGGAAAGCCCATTGTGTTGTTTCCATTAAACTGTAGAAATACGTGTTGTTCAAGAGGCACATTTTGATCTGTAATCCATTAAAACTGCTTTGTGACTCAAATTTCCATCTCTGTGGAAAGGACCATTTGATGTTTTAGGACTACTTGGAAGTTTGCATTTTGCAGGTCCCTTGTAAGTGTTCTGTCATCATACTTTTGAGGCACTGTTGTCAGTGAGTTCATACCAAATCCTTTATATACACTTCCTTTTTTTAAAATAACTCATGAGCTATATCCTTAACTTTATTCCCTTTCCTTGTCTTTATTCCTTCTTACAGATAAAATGCCTTAATTTTCACTACAGACTGGCATTACTTACTGCCTCCTTCCTCAAAGAAATTCCAGTTTCTGTTTGAAAAGGAGTTCCAGCCCCCACTGTAATGAAATTTTAGCTGATAGAGATTTATAATTTACCTCTTCCTCTTTTGGTGCTTTACCACATCTGTCCACCTCTGAGAGTTACTTAATTTTAGTGTGTGTATCCAAAGAGCCTGGGCTCTTAAACTGTTTTGAACTTTTTCTTTCATCTACTGGTCTAACATTTGTACATTCCAGGTTCTAATGGATTTTAAACTAGGGTTTAAAATGTAGCCAGTTGTGCAAGTCCCAGACAGATAAACGTAACTGGACAATAGCTTCAAACTGACAAAAGACAGGGTTAGATGGGATATTAGGGAGAAATTCCTCCCTGTGAGGTTGGTGAAGCCCTGGCACAGGTTGCCCAGAGAAGCTGTGGCTGCCCCATCCCTGGAACTGTTCAAGGCAAGGCTGGATGGGGCTTGGACCAGCCTGATCTAATGGAAGGTGTCTCTGCCTGTGGCAGAGAGATTGAATGAGATGATCTTTAATGTCCCTTCCAACCCAAAACATTCAGTGATTTCGTGATGATTCCGTGGCCTTCCAAGTCTTTGGTTAACCTGTGGCATAGGTTAGAATAACTGACATTAGATTTGGAATAGAATTTTATTTATAAAGCAGCTGTATTCCCATGCAGAGAACATTCTTATAAACTCTTACTTTGCTCATGATACCTTCAAACTTACTACCAGTAGCTCTTTCCTTGGTTAAACCAGAGTTGCAGGATTGTAAAACTAAAGCAACAGTTCTAAAATGGAGCAAAAGTAACTTGATTTTTAACATTGTGCATCTGCCTTGTGGTATTATACAGTGGGTTGACACAACACATTAGCATGAAGAATAAAAGCATTTTAGAACTATAGATTAATTTTAATGACTTCACCACATGACACCATCATTTTGAACATCTTGTTGATAAAAGAGTTTGACTGCCCATTTCTGGGCACTTGTTTATTGAATTTACATCCTCACTTGATCCATTTATTTAATCAGATCATCATATTTAATTACACAGTTGTGTTATCTTGTCCCCAGGACTCATGTTATGTTTAATTACAGAGTACTATAATAATAACTGCATGCTATGAATACTTATAGCACAGGCAATCTCATTTTTTCTGTTTGTGAACAGTGGAGGGAATAGTTTTGCATTTATTAATACTCTTTTCAACTATGTTGTATGTTCAAATAAGCACTAATGTGGTAAGGAATGCAGTGTGGATTAGATGTCTAACAAGCTTTTGCAGATTGTGATATTCCTTTTAATTTGTTTTGAATATCATTCATTTCTTAAGTTGATATTCCTTTTAATATTGTTTTGAATATTCCTTTTAATTTGTTTTGAATATCATTCATTTCTTAAGTTCTGTTTTCTCTAATTTTCCACGGCCTGTGTTAATTGTCTTAATCTTATTGAGTGCTCTGCTTCATTTGAAGTTACCCAGTCTTTAACAGTGCCACTGAGAGGAACTGCCCTTCTGGGTACTTGTGTGCAGATCTCTTGTTTTAATTCCATTTTCATTTCTGTATTTCCAGTTCAAATCCACACCGAGTAAGAGCGTCTCAGTGGTGGGCTGGATGGTGATGATGGCAGACGACCCTGAGCATCCAGATCTCTTCTTACTGACTGATTCTGAGAAGGGTAAGTAGTGCCCTGATTCCCAGAATAAACATTTTCTTAGCTGAGGTCATTTTTCAGCAAATAAATGAGCAAGTGAAAGGTGACATTGTTCCAGTTTCAGCTGCTCTCCAAAATGTCACCTTTGCCTTTAGAGTGCAATGGGAGCAACAACCCATGGAGAATACTTAGAATCTTCTTTGAGTTGTAGGAACTCTCCAAACTCTTTAACAAACTCTCTAGAGTCCCCCAGATGTGATTTTAATTGGAAGTATTCATCTGTATTCTTTTAAACCATATTTAGAACACTTTGAGGCATTTTCGCATGTGTGAAAATATAAGTAACAATAAAAAAAAACAAGGTTCAGCTAACACTAGCTGCTTGAGCAGTCCCTTCTCTCCAAATGAAAACCAAAACCCAAACCATCTGTTCAAATGTAGTGCTATTACCAGGAAAAACCCCTCAGAGATCTTACTGTTATGTGGAGAAGCCTGTGGATGTCCATTACTCCAACACAGTGCCTGCTTTCAGCTAAAACACTGAAGAAAATGTTACTTTTCCACAGCACTTAAAATTGTGAAGAAATAACATTATTAAAAGTTCTGATAAAGGAGCTTAAAATTATTTATTGCTTTGTCTGCTTCAAGTACATTTTATTTCCAAACATCTCTCCTAGCACCACTGATATGAAGTATGAATTGTGAGTACTTGTCAGTTTAAACCCTGCAACAGCAATCTGAAATGTTTTTGTAACACTTGACCTTCCTGAACCCAAACAAGCACTATGTAACTTCAGCCACTGAAAATACTAGTCTGAAATATATCAATACATTTAGGAGTAATGTTCAGATATTTTCAAATGTAGCTTTCCAGGGTTCATTTCAGTGATATCTTGCACTTCCTTAAAAAATCATGATATTATAAACAAATTGAAGTAACGGCAGTGAACAAAACCACTTTTGTTTTGAGGGATGTTTTGTTCTTTCCTAACTGACACAGGCATTTGTTGAAATCTAAAAAGTTGGAAAGGAAGAGAGGCAAGCTGAAACTTCTCTTCAATAGGTCAAGCAATTGCACTATTCCAGACAAAGTATTGCAATATTCCAGACAAAGGGTAAAGTTATGTGGACCATCTATTAGTAAATCTTCTCATAATATTTCAATTTAGAGGCACTTGAATATGGGTGGGATTTAAGTGTTTAAAAAGGAGCACTGTTTATGTTTCTTCATCAGTTGTTTTTCTCTTTCTTAGGAAATTCATATAAATTTCAAGCTGGAAACAAAAATAACGCAACACTCTGGTTTAAACACCTGAGTGCTGCCTGCCAAAGCAACAGACAACAGGTGAGAGCAAGACAATGAAAATGAATCAGCTTTTGAGAGCTCAGAACTGATGGATCTTTGAGCTGGCCAAGCTGTCACTGAGGGCTTTGTGTGTTCCCTGAGCATCCTCTCCACCTGTTTCAACTGATTGATTTGCCTTGGCTTTTCTGTTTGGCCCTTTGCAAACAAGTCCTCAGAGCTTCTGGGGTAATGAAGAAAGATTTAAGGCTACCTTGAGACTAACTTAAAGCAATTGGGGAAATACAAGGAATGGTATAAAATATCTGTCTGAGTGGCAGTATTTTTGACTTGCCCATTTGAAAAAGGCTATTGCACAATTATACAAAAAGCTGTAAACTGCAGCATTCAATATCAATTCCAGATAACTCTCCTGAAGTGCCTTTTTTCAGGTCATGGACATAGATATTTTCTGCTGTGTATGTATTTTGTATTCCTAAAATGTATAGAAAGTAGTTTAGCCCTTGGTACATTTTCCAGCCTTTGAAAGCAAAAGTAGCATTTTCTATTAATCAAAACGGAAGACTGCTCCAACCCCTATTAAATGCTGTTCTCATATAAATTCTTATTTACCTTTTTCATCAGCAAAATCCTTTTTAAGTTACTTTGTCTCCTTGAACTCTTCCTTCTCTTTGCACGTTTGTTTATGGAGTTCCCAGAGCAGAAATCCTACTGAATTTCAAGGGCAAACAAAAAGGCTTTTCCAGATACTTCTGTGCTTTCTTGTTTAATTCTGCTTCTAAGAGAGATCTTAAGTAAGGAGGGTTGCAGAAGCTCCTGTGAAGGTATTTGAGACAGTGCAAAGGAGAGGAAATTGTGTTCCTGGCTGGAGAAAGTGGGGATAGCAGCAAATAGTGGCAAAGAGTTTGCAAGTAAGTGGTGAAAAACTCGCCTCTGAAGACAGCTCTGGTTCATTAAGGGTTGGCAATACTGTTAATAACTGTTAACAGCATAACTGCCTTAGAAAAATTGGATGTTTAAATGTGTTCTCAATGTAATATAAACACCTAGTCTGTTAAATATCAATAGCTGAGTAATAGTAAGAACTATTTTAATGGATACTGTTTCTGATTTTGATGGTGCAGCTTTAGCCCAGTTGAGCATTCTTGCTTCTACAGGTAAATGGCAAATGCAAAGCAAGAAATGCTTGATTCATGTCTGACCAAACTGACTGTTTATTGACAGTTGTCAGGAATGTGGTGGCTCTTTAGTAACCTGACTAAACGAGAGATGTTGCTGTCAGATACCTGATGGAGAGAAAATGGAGATATAAACTAATGTATTGCAAACATTTGCTTTGGTCTTTGTGAAAGGGAGTGATATCTGCAGCAGACATTCAGGTTTGCTATGGGAAAAGCCCCTAAGGGGCCTACATCAATACTGGTCTGTGTGCCAAGAATTTTCTAGCTGGGGCTCAGGTGAGAGGGTTCCACTTGCCTAGCATAGCTGAGATTTATGATGTTAAGGTTGTTTTGCTGGCAACTTAAATGTCATCAAAATTAGGAAGTTCTATGGCCATATAAGCAAATTACAAACCTCACAGCAGTTTAATATTTTTGTTATACCCGTGGTTTCTACAGCTCTAAGTATATTTTTACTGCTGGATGATAGTTGCATTCCTTCTCTCCTTTTTTGAAGACAGAATGATGTGCATTTCAACAAAGTGTCTAGTTTGTGAAATAGTTGAATGCAAGTAGCTACTATCTGAAGTGAATTCTTCTATCATTTATATTTTTGTTTTCAGGTTCCTGCCAACTTGATGACCTTTGAATAACAGGCAAATTCAAAACAATAAAAAAGGACAATTTGAACCATGTCATAATTGAGAACAAGGTCCTGATGAAAAATGTGCCAGCTGTATTCTGTGCCAGAACAGAACCTGTCAACTCGAGGAGCCCTGAACAAGACCACTAATGGTTGGGGAGTCCCCCAAATTAAAAATGGAGTTGCAACATGAATTGCCATGGACCATGCTTCGTTATGTTCTCAGAACTGACCTGTGGAAACCACTGCCTTAAAGAGTGAAAGGAAAAACAACAAGAAACACCAAATAGTGTGTGTGAAACTTCTGGCGGTGCTGTGCTTGAGTTAAATAGATTGTAGCTAGTTTTGAGTTTCTTTTAACTTTATACTAATTTTGAAAATAACTCACCTTTTTAGGCATTCTTAAGAAAACAGGTAAACTGGTATTTAAGAATTGTATCAAAAGCTGTGTATGAACCAGGTAAAAGGTACTACATGTTCTGGAGATGTTGTTTAGGCTATACCAGGAATCCTGGAGGGGAGCTTGTCCCAGGCACACCTAGCCTGGAGCAGTGTTATTTCTCTCAGACCTGTAAGAAATGTAACACAACTGCAAGTTCAGAGCAGCACTGAGCTTGCAAACCTTTGTCCTCTATGGGAGCCAGACTGCTACAGTGGCGCAGAGGCTGAGCCAAAAATCGGTTTGGTACGTTTTGACCCAATTTCTGATGAAAAACACGTTGTTTGGGCAGTCGGGGGAGGGGGGTGTGGGGTGCGTACGAGACAAAACTGAAAGCACTGTTGGGTCAGAACTGAGTGTTTTTGTCCCATTTGTTTCTATGCCTGTGATTCTCCTACACAGAAAAGCTGAATGACAAAACGACACCTGGGTACAGCTCACTGAGATGCTTGACTTTGGGTATCTGCTAATTATCAGTTAGGGACCACTGTTAGTGTGTGGTGTTTCATAATATCACTTCAGATGGACATTTTAAAAAAGATAGAGGCACAATTTCAAGCTTTCATGTTCTCATTTGGCAATAATTGATTTTACTATCTGTCTTGGTCAAAGTAGTTGACGTTGTGTGGTGTTGATAACATGGCCTAAAGCAGACCTTACATACAGAAGCTCTTTTGATCTTCAGGCAATTGACTAATTTATTAGAAGGTAGGATAACCTAAGGAGAGAAAAGGTGTGGGGCCATCAAAATTCCATCCTTGACAAGAATCATTCTTGGTCACTGAAATTACTCACAGAGAAAAACATAATGGTTGTAAAAAGGGAGCTGTGCTTTATGTGTGTGTTTGATGCTTAAGACTTTGATTCTTGCTTTATTGGAGTTTCCTTGACGTCACCTAGTTTCCTGGATGATTGGTCTTTCTTTAACCTTCAAAAATATGATCTTTGTAAGTCAAGGAAACATTGTCCAAAATATGACTCTGATATTGGAACTTTGAAGTCTGTGAAAAAGTAGTAACTGTTCCATTGACATTGTGGTTTAGTGACCGTAAATATGCTTGCAGATTCCACCATGAATTCTCCTTTTTAAACAGAAACAAGCTACCTACCAGTCTGTTTCAGAGTTCTCTGACTATCTAATAAAGGTTTCTACTAGTAGTTGTTATTTTGAAAATGTATAGTTTGTTTATTGCATCTGAGTAGAAGCCTATAAATTCACATTTGAGGGGTTTTTCTTTCCAGAGTCAAATTAATCGTGTAATGGAAATGATTAATTTTTGATTTCTGGCAGGCAAAAAGAAGGATAATCCAGTCTCATAGTAAACAAAACAAAACACCAAAACCCCAACCACTTGGTGATGTGTAATAGGGTGGTTTATGTTTCCAAGAATTGTTCTGAATTGGCTCTTGTTAGAAAGAAAAACAGTAGAAGGATGCTTCTGTTGGAATTACACCACAAGGACTATGAGAATTTGGCTCCCCTTGCAGTTCTTTTGTTGCTGTTTTTTTATGTGGGGAATGAATAGTCTGTTCTGAAGTCATGAATTTTGGGAAGGAGTTGCAATTCACACATCTCCCAAGTTTACTCACGTTGGGTGTATAGTAAAGACAACATCCTCACAACCAGCAGTGTTACTTAGTAGAATTTGCACAACTTGAGTTAGATTTTTTTCCGTTTTAGAACTTACTTAATGTGTGTTTCCTCTCAATGACTGTTTGTTTGGGGTTTTTTTAACAATTTGTGCCCTTTTTTTTAAGCATTGTGGATAAATAGCCTGTGGATTTTGAATTTTTAAATAAGCTATTCTAGGTTCATTGCAGCATAACTGTATCTATTCTTTTGTTAGTGAAAGGAAACATGCAACTGGGAGCCACTGACAGCCCACAGCTTTGCTAAGGACAGAGCCAGGTCAGGATGTGTCATTTATTACTGGATTTTTGCATTTTTCCAGCTGTTTTGAGTTAGGTTTTTATGGTAGGAGGATGGTGGGGAGAACAATTCACAAATCATCCTTTAATGAATTGTTGCTGTTACCAGCTTTCATTATCCTTAGGCCTCCTACTCTTCCTTGTTTTCTGCCCTCAGATCTGCTGGGTTTTTGTGGGAGAGGTTGAATGTTGTGGGAGGAGTTTCTTGAAATGTGTAGCCAGGATGACTGGAGTGAGTAATGACAACACAGGAAGTATTTTTGGAACTTGTTGCAGTGAGTAGTTCGGTACTTTCCCATTGTTTATGGCCATGTAGTTCTACAGGGCAACACACAAACACTGACATTTCTAGAGCTGGAGATAAATGGTGCTCAGAAAGAGGTGCTGGCCATAGAAAGACTCAGACAAGTCAAATGCACTGCAAAGGATGTACTAATGCTCTTTTTTTTAAAAAAAAAAAAATGGAGTTTAAAAAGTTAAATAACTGAAACTATTGCTGAGAAAACAAGGAGAGCAGCGAGCTCATGGTATGCAGGTAAGAATGTCATGCAGACTGCTTCAGACAGTTAACACTTTCTCTTTGATTTTCATTTTTAATGTGTTGCTCTAATTGTTTATCTTGGTAATAACTGCTGAACCACTTCAGCTAATATTTGTCACTTTACCCATTAATGTTTTGATTTTGAAACTAAAGATGCCCTTGCAATTCCTTGTTTTGGCCACTTTTGAACAAAAATTATTTAGAGAAGCTCTTCTAGCAGGACTTCAAATATGAATATTAATTATCTAACTGATAACCAGCCTTTTAGATAAACTGAAAGTTTTGGGAAAGATTAAGCAACAGGGAATGTCTGGTTTATGAAATTGGTTTGTTGCATAAAAAATACATAACATTGCACTGCTTAGTGCTAACTTTAATTAATCTGTTCTACTTTTGGCTAGGTTTTTCAAACCTGACTTCTATTCCAGTGTCCTTAGAAAGCAAATAAATTTTATAACTTTTATTTTTAAAAAATTCTGGTAGTTTGAATAAACTTAGCTCATCCCAGACACTTTTTCATTTTCAGATGTCTATTTCATGCCAGAGGAGTATTACTCAAGCTATTATGAATCATTAAGTATTTAGGTGCACATTATAGGCATTAAAAATACAAATACTAAATGAAGTCACATAAATACTTAATGAATGAGCTTTAGCACCCAGTTTTAAAATCGTGTTTAGAGAAGTATGCACATTGGAAAACATACTGGAAGCAAAAGGAAGCATAAAAAAACACAGCAGGGTTTTATTAGTTATCTGCTCCTCACTAGAAGTAAATTAATCTAATTTAACATTTCTTGCAACATCAGCCTCCTGTATTTGCATTTCCATGTTTTCAGCACTAGTTCTCCTCTATTAGTATCAGACATAACACATGGTGACAGCAAATCCTCTCTCTCCCAGCAGAAGACAGGTTTTTGTTGCAGGTTTTTGTGCTGCTGAGGCACACGAGAAGTAGAGGTCCCTTTTGACAAAAGGCAAGTTGATCTTATGGTTTTGATTAACTGTAAGAAATCTTGTCCAAATCAAGGTAAAACATGGGATGTTTTTTGTCTTCTGGCTCTGTCAGTGGCCTTTTTCCTCATTACTTGTGTTTTTAAATTTTTTGGTATTCTTACTCACCAACACTAGTAGTTCCAACCTTATTCATGGCCGGCTCTTAGTGCTGCCTGTTGCAGCATCAAGACCTCAAGACTGGTACTGAACCACATCTGTGAATTGTCTCTTCTTCCTCCAAGGAGACAGCTGTGAAAGCTTTGTTATTATTCTTTAATATTAGTGTTTTTCTTTAATTTATCTCTAAAGCAGCTTGTGCATAAGGTGGTTTGGCTTGGGAAAGTTGCCATCGAAAGGATCTGTGTGAGTGGACATGGAATTCTTCCCTAGGGTTTATCCCTTCTTTTAAAAACCATCATTCCAATTTGTAGTGCATGAAGAGGGTGAGTGCTTGGATTTGAGGAGGACTTTTGTCAGTGCCTTATTATTAACTTAAAGACCAATTCCTTTATTTCAGTGGTGAGTCCCACCATGGCAGACTTGCAGGCTGTGTCGTCAGTGTTCCAAGGGGTGACATTCCTGACAGCCACTGCATTTCTGCAGCAGTCACTTGTTTTGATCAGTGTAAAATAGCTGTGGCTTGAGTTGCTTTAGTATTATTTCTGTATTTGAATAGCCTCCTTTTAGGAAAAAATGCAGCGGTTTTTTGGTAGCTTGGGCTTGTTCAGCTTTTATCAGAAGTAGCTCAGACCTCTTAAAAATTAACTTATTTTTATTTTGGTATGTCTCTTGAGTAGATTTAGTGGGTGGGGGTGGAAATGAAGAGTGTAGTCCATGTCATGGTCTAGACCACATGAGCTCAAGAGCTCTCACATTATTAGGAAGGAGCTTGCTTTTGTCTGTCCCACTTTGATGTAAACACTGAGGAGCATTCTTAGGAGATGATTTATCTTGCAAGCTTTTTGTTAATGTAAAATAAACACCACAGGAAAAAACTGTGGCTTGGATAAATCTTAGTCTTAATATCCCAAAAGCTCGGTTTTGTATATTGTATTTCTAGTGCCAAGACCGTGTAGGGAGCACTGTCCTTCACTAAAACAACTGCTAGAGACTGTTTTAGCAGCAAAAGCTTCAGAAGCTTTGGAATTAGAAATGCAAGAAAGAATATGTTGTTCTTAAGCAAGTAAATATTTGTTTTCCTGGAATTCATCCTTACAAAAACACAGCAGTCTTACCATAGTCTTTTTATTCATTCAGATGTTGGAAGGATAATTTGAAAATTAATCTTATGCTTTCTAAGAACATTCCAAGAGAGCAGAAAGGTCAAAGGGGAAAATACAAATTACTTGGTGTAGCTTTGGCAGAATTGAGCTGACAAGTTTTCTCCAAGTTACTAAGTTGCTAAGGAAAAGGAGGTGTATAAAATGAAATGCAAGTTCCTGCAGATCATGGCAAGGTTCTGGCTGGTGGCCTGGTCTTGCTCTTGAGTGACTAAAACCATCGTAAATACTCCATTTCCTTTGTGTGCTTGATTATTATTATTTCTCTTTATTCAGGTGGGTTCTGGCCTTCATGTGTGTTTGCTGAAGTAATTTCTTACCATTCCAAAGCTGTTCACAGCTGAAACTGCAAAGCAGACAAGCAGTATAAGTTGATTAAATGTTGAAATAAAGGGTTCTGGGGTGCCTGGTTTACTGGCACTTCTGGCTCCTTGTGTGCAGGAGTATATCCATTCAAATCCTACTGAAGTGGAGTGGGAAAAGCACCAGGAAAGAGAGATGTGTTTTACAATAATCCTGTAAGGACCAACCATCACTGGAAGTGGGATCAAGGTGTCATGCAGTAAAGCCATTTTTAATGTTCCCTGCTGGTGTGAGGCATTCCAGGGATGGAGGGATTGCACTATGATCTCACGGAGTGATGTGCAGTTTGGCTGTCCTCGAGCCTCTTCCTTCACCTTTTTTAATACTTTATTCTGTGTGTGCGTGTGAAAACTGTGTGTTTGCATAAGCTAGTTTAAATGAATTTAAGAGCAGGTTTCAAAAATCTTTCCTACTGAAATAAATGATTTAAAAGATGGCCTGTGTCTGAAGTTTTAATTTCTCATTTAAAAAAAATGCATCCAAATTCCAGGTAGGTTTTGCAACATGGAATTTGACTGTCTTTTGGAATGGTGCTGAAATCAGTTGGAATTTTAGTGGCATTTTTCAGTGAACCTCTGAAATGAAGCATGTAAAGATATTGTCTACTGGTACAGAAGAAGTCTAAAGATGAGCAGGGAAGTACAGTTCATTGAAGAGATATATGTCTGGTCCCAGAGATTGTTCTGTTAAATGATGTGGTTTTTCTCTCCTTGGTAGCTTATCAGATTTATTTTTTTTTCTGTTATCTCTATACTTAAATCTGTGGTAAATTTAAACTCACTGAAAGTAGTCATCAGGAAGATTGGCTTTTAAGGTGCAGCTACATGGAAGATAAATTGAAAATTAAGAATGAATAATAGCATGCAAAGCCTTGTATTTCCTTAGCTCTTTGTTTGGTGTTGCTTCCCTACTCTCTGTGCCTTTGTAATGCTGTGAAGCCTTACTGGTCATACAGTCCTGGAGGAAATGCTGTGGGGTCAGGCTGTGAAATGCTTGTCAGAGTGTGAGCCTTGGGCTTCTTTGCCTTTTCTCCTTAATGGAACCATTCATTTCAAATGTATTTACAAAGAGAGAAGGAATAAAATAGATTTTTGTAACCCCCTCCTTTTTCTTATTTCCAGATTACTGAGTTTGAGAAACGCTTTGTGTTCAGTAGTGTGAAAAGAAACACAAAAATAATGAGTTGGTGACTGACTTTTCCCCTCTCCTTCCCCTCTCCTTCCCCTCTCCTTCCCCTCTCCTTCCCCTCTCCTTCCCCTCTCCTTCCCCTCTCCTTCCCCTCTCCTTCTCCTCTCCTTCTCCTCTCCTTTCCTCTTTTTTCCCTTTTGAAAGCTCTTTTCATGGCATTTTCAGATAAGCTGCTTTATTAACTCGAAAGCTGACTCCACACTTTGCAAGGGGCAGCACAGACAGAGCAAAGAGATTCTTGGTTTGGATCCTTCTTGGGAAAGACATTCCCCTATTTGAACTGCATCTCTGTCCACAGCAGAGATTCCAAGTCTGTCTGTGTTAGCTCCATCGCTCATCTTCAGCTTCTGTCATCAGGTTCTTTCTTGCCTTTAAAAATTGAAAGGCTGTAGCATCTCTGCAGAGCCTGATAGAAGTGGCTGGAGTGAGAGTTCTTGGGTGTATTTTTTAATTTTACCTTTTTTCCAAGTCAAGGAGCATATCAAAGACTTCTTTTGTCCCTTTCCTTATGTTCTTGTCTCTCAGGCTGCTGTTTACAGGAGATGGCCTCCAAATCCACAGAATGAGAAGACAGGTGGGGGAAAAGCACCTGATCCCTTCCTTGCTTCCCAACTGGAATGATTTTTGTTCTTGACATACTTCTGCTCTCTTTCCCCAGGTGTATATGCTGAGTTCACCAACTGAATGTTCTTTTTGAAACTGTAAGATTTGAAAGAATTGAAATTGCCTTGGTTTTGTAACTTCCTCTTTAGTTTGCCTTTTTTTTTTCCTTTTTCATGGGAAGAAACCACAGTGTGTGGGGGGGAGGGTTTCACATCTGTGGGAAAAACAGAGAAACCAGACCACAGATGTATGAAATAACCCAGCTGAAAGAAAATGATCTTTTTCCCTTTTTTTAATAACAGTTTTTGTAAGTGAGAATGTTAGGTTACAAAAGTGTGAGCGGAAGACAGCCAGATGTAAACAGATGATACTGTTTTGGCATAATCAACATGCTCTGACAGAACAGAGCAGGGTTATGGTTTTTATATCAACAAATAAATTGAACACAGAAGATTGAATCTGTACTTCTAATTTGTAATTTTTTTTTTAAGTTTTATTAGTTTTTTTGCTTTAATTGAGCATTAATACCAAAACATACTTCATTACATGGGTAATACTTATCTTTGCCTCATTCTGTTTCCCATTTTTAGTTCAATTTGGTACTTAAGGACAATATGCAGATCCAAAATAGAATTTTCTCCTTGTCTCCCTGAGCTGGTACAAGTTGCTGCTGTGCAAAACTTGCCTTTACTGAATGTCTTTATCTTGCTCTGTAAGAGAAGTGGATTTTCTGTGATGTATGTAGTGTGATAGAACATGTCAAGCACCTGATGAATAATTCCAGTGTGTAAGATGATATTGTTTTAATTCTAAAACATTGGAAAGAGCCTGCTCCAAGGAGATCTGCAAAGGGCAAAATAAAAGCATATTTTTTTCAGTTTTAAAAAGTGTGGGGTTACGTGTATCAAAACACAAAGTTATCCAAGCCATTTATTAAGCTAAGGAGAAACCTTGTACAAGAACAAAGGCAGCAGCAAAGTGTTAATCTTATCTTTCATTTTCTTTTCAGGTAAGAAAATGTGTCCCTTTCATTGTGGAAAAGGGATAAGGAGCTGAATTGTTCTAAGGTCAAATAATGCAGCTAAACATTTAACCAAAGCATTGCCTGTTGGTGATGGCACAGCCAAGTGTGGCCTGTGCTTCTCACTGCCTGACTCTGCAGATGTGCTGTAGTGTTCCAGAGGGACTGGAATACTGAAACAGCTCGTGAGAGGAGGGAGCCATTCCCTCATACAGGAGCAGTCCCAAGGCAGTGGCTCGGAGACAAACTGATGGTGCTGTGAGTAGCTCAGTAACCTGTCATGACAGAGCTGGGAAATGCAAATGCAGACCCTGAGTTCTTGGTGCTGGAGCAGCAGGATTCTCCTCAATCAGTATAAACATGAATCTAAGACTTAAAGCAAGACAGAATGGGGTAATTATGATCTATTAAAATTTCTTGATTTGGGGATATTTGGTGTTGGCAAGCGTTTTATGAACTTCTGATTAAAATTACATAACCAAAATACTGTTTATATTTTAAGTTACCAAACCTGAGTCACACTCACCTCAGTAATCAGGTTCCCGTCAATATTAAGTTCTATGGTGTTATCCATTCTGCTTTTGTTCCAGTTCCCTGTCTCTGACACCTGTATCAGAGGCATCAGAGGAAAGAGTAAACATACAGTGAGTAAACTTTTAGCCAGGTAAGTTCTAAAGACTAATGACTTCTGTGTGTTGAAAGCTTTACAGTTTCATTTTCTCAATTTCATTCAATAGGATAATGGCTTAACAGTGAGAATGTTTCTTTTGGTTTCTTTGAAAAGAAGCTGTAAGATGATAAAGAGCAGAACAAATGTGGTATGAACGCACCAACACAGATGCAATGTGAAATATACCCTAGACTTTGTGTTAAATCTTGGTTCACATCTTCTCAGAGACATTTGTATATTATTACTTTTAGGAGTTAAAATAGTTCATGTAATGTTGACACGGGGTTCTTGCACCCAACTTTGCACAATTTAACTTCATAGAATCACAGAATGATTTGGATTGGAAGGTACCTTAAAGGTCTTCTCCTTCCACCCCCTGCCATGAGCAGGGACACCTTCCACTATGCCAGGTTGCTCCAAGAGCCATCCAGCCTGGCCTTGAACACTTCCAGGAATCCAGGGGCAGCCACAGCTTCTCTGGGCATCCTGTGCCAGAGCCTCCCCACCCTCCCAGGGAAGAATTTCTTCCCAACATCCCATCTAACCCTGCCCCCTTACCAGTTTGAAGCCATTCTCCTTTGTCCTGTCGCTCCACACCCTTGTAAATAGTCTCTCTATCTGTCTTGTGGGCTCCCTTCAGATTCTGAAGGACATTGTGAGGTTCCTTCAGAAACCTGAATTGGAATGAGGAAATCATTTCAGGACAGGTGGCCATTTTGGTTATCTACCTCATAGCCATTATACGTAGATATATCTTGCTTGCTGCTCTGGTATCTAATGAGTACTTGCTAAACAACATCTTGCTTAAATCCTCTCCATTGTGCTGCTTTTCTTCTAGTCACATTTGTCCAAGTGAGAGCTGAAAAGTTGGGTACTTTGTTGGTTATAAGATTCCAGGGGAAGCTGTTCCTCAAGGATGTTGTGGTGCCCTACTGCCCAGTTCAGAATATCAGCAAGCAGTCCATATGTTTCTCTTCCCATGGGATTCATCCATCACTCTGAGGGGAAACTGGTATCATCCTATCCTTGTGCTACAGATGGAGAAACTGAGGCACAGCACAGAAGTAGTAAATGTTGTATTCAGTGTGAAGCACTAATAGTGCCAGGCTGGAGAGTGACATCCAGTGCACTTTCCAATGGGTCATAAACACATAAAGTAATCAAGAACTTGTCAGAGCACGTCTGCTCTGGTGTTTCTAGCCAAAATCCATCAGCTACCCTGATTTAAATCACTTTCTGACACTGATGATGTGTGGAAGTAGAGCCCATCAGTGACTTTGCTGTGTGTCTCAGACAGTCAGCCCAAGAAAAATTCAGGGCAAGGTAAATCATTTAAATCCTGGTAGTGCCAGGGCAGTGGGTGGGACGTGGAACCTCAGGGGTTTTGTGGGGCTCTGTGCAGACAGAACCATCTCTTGCACTCAAAGAAGCTTAAAATATCAACAATAAAAACAAGTCTCTAGACAAAGCTCATGGAGCTGAAGGGTTTCCAGTAGCTCATCAGTAATGCTCCCAAGGTTAATGATGCATTTGGATGACTGAGCCCACTGCTCCTGCTCAGTCTTCTGCCTGTCTCAGAAGGGGTAGCCCTGTGTTCCTCTTGCCATTCTGTCTGCATAAAAGTGGCCAGGGAAAATATGAGTAGAATAGTTCATTCAAATAAAACAGTAAGGAAAAAATATTTATTTTTATTATTTATTATTTTTATTATTTATTATTTATTAATTTTATTATTTATTGTTTTATTTTTATTATTTATTATTTATTATTTTTATTATTAGGTCCAAGTTTAAAAGGGAAAGTATGCAAAACTCTAAATTCACCCTTATATTCTGATCCTTTTCAAGAGTAAAAAGAGGTCACAAATCCTGCAAGGCTTATACATTTATTATTTTCTCTAACTCAGTGCTTTGTGTTGCTATTTGATCCTTGGAGTTCTGCTTTTTCAGCACTG